ATCATTTAAATATTCTATAAAATAAATATTTGATAATTCATGAATTATTTATTTTAAACATTTTGAGTATGTTTTGCAATTAATTTCACTGAAATTCGAGATCTTGCTTGAATATAAATATTCACTACTATGATTAATCTAATTATCAGCATACCAAATTAATGATTTGATCATAATAATATAGATTTGTATGAAATTGCGGCTTCACAGGGTATTACAATTTCATTTTTCAATAATATTTTTTTTTTAATTTTATGCTTTATCAGAAAGTTATATTTGCATTCCGACAAAAATACAATTTCCGAACAATTTATCTACAGTTATGATATCATTCTCATAAAATACTTTTTATCTAAAGCTGATAATATCTTGACTAAATTCTGAAAATTATCGAAGTGGAGATATATATTTACATTTATATACATATCAAATTTTTGAATAATTTTTAATTATTTGAAAGCGATATGGTTTAAAGATAGAAATTCAGTTCTGAATATTATCTAAAGTTGATATTTTTTATGACTAATGCTATTTTTATAAGATTTTTTCTTTCGATTATATATTTGAATTTGGGTTCTTTGTAAGAACCATTGATTGTTAATCAATTATCAGAATTTAAGTTCTGTAAGTACTTTTATGAATGAGAAAATTAAACAAATATTGACATTGTTTGAAAACATTACAAAAATTAGAAACATTTTTCTTGCAGTACTTTACTTTCTGTGTGGAACAAAATAAAATTTGTTTTAAGTACCTAATTATATGTTTAATTGTGAAAACTTAATAAGCAGACAATAAATTCATAAATATAAATAATATGATTTCAGATGATAGAGTAATTTATAAATTACTACCCGATCACTCGTTGCTGTGTTATATATAACAATAAAAATCTAAACAAAAATGCGATTCTGTTACATCTAGTTATTAATAGGGGAAATGGCGCCCGAATTTTTCGTGATTGTTATTGTACAGCAGTATTAGATGCATCTTCGAGTGCAATATTCCATTCAGCATCTCAATATATAATATAGGCTTCTAAGCATATCAGCAGTAAATAAACTGTAAAAACTCAACAACATACATCACAGAACATAAAACATATAAAAAAAAACAACTATCGAAATATGTTCAGAAAATTTCCCAGTTATTGCATAAATGTAGAAATATATTTATTTGCTATTTTCTCTATTCCCGTTTACCCTATATGGAACAAACACACTCAATGTTTCATTTTTAATTATGAGAGGTTTTCTGAACTAAAAGCTGCATTATTTAACCAATGTAAAATACAAATTTCATAAGCATCAGCAGTGTTGGAATGACTATTAATTTCATTTATCTCTTACCTGGTTGATGTGATAGTAATTTTATTAAATCTGCTGAATCTAAGATAAGAATCTCATAATACAATTAAATAACGTAAATAAATTGGATCTTCTTACCCGCGGACCTTCAGGGTCAACTCTACCTTACATATGTATTTAATTTTTAATTCTGCAGTATCCATAAATATAACTAGTTGGTATTGGTATTTTGCTTTGAGACAAGTTACATGAACTTCCCGATATGTATAAATAATCGACTTAATCAATAAAAAATAAATTAATTTATGCGTGATTAAAAGTGCAGAGAGGAGAGGGGATTTATTACACATAATTGAAAACGAACGAACACGTTAACTCTAAGTATTTTGTAAAAACAAATTTTCAAAAATCAATAATTTTTATAATTGAACCAGTTTCCATAGGACTTTAATGGTTTAATGTGTTCATTAAGACCAAGTACTCTATCGTTATACCAAGTAAATCGTCTAATTTCAATTTTAACAAAAGTCAAAAAAAAACTACTCATTTTCTCAAACTTTGATGAATTTTAAAAATTAAACTGCTTGTCGTAAGGCAGTAATATTTCAGTACGTTTTATAAGAAGATGATATATATCGCCAAAAAGAGTTCAGTTTATTATAAAAATCACCTTAAATTTTTCTTTCAACAGTCAATTACAAGAAAACGGCTCGATAGATTTCACTAAAACTAATCAGTATCATTCCAAACTAATATCTCTCGAACAGTTTTTGATTTTTTAAAATCGATATGAGCTTAAATTTGGACGAAAAGTTTAACATTTTTTTTCCAAATTACAAAGAAACGACTCGGCAGATTGTCGCACAAAACTGACAAACGATAGTCCTCATCGAGATACATCAAATGATTTTTAAATTTCTGAAATCGGTTCAGGTGTTTTTGAGCAAACGTCGACGAAAGGTCTAATTTTGATAATCGCCAAAAACAGATACTAATTTTTGCAAACTTTGACGAATTTTTAAAATTAAACGACTTTTTGTTGGGCCGTAATATTTTGGTATGATCTAGAAGGCCATGATATCTATCACAAAAAAAAATTAATGAAAATCGTCGAAATTTTTTTTTAACACTTTATTACAAGAAAACGGCCCGGCCGATCTTTACCAAAAACTAATCAGGTCGATTCCCAACCAATATCTTTCGAATGATTTTTGAATTTTCAAAATCGATTCAGAATTGCGGGCTAAAACGTGGACGAAAAATTTTTCACTTATCTGCTATTTACCAAGAAACGGCTAGGCCAATCGTCGCACGAAATTGATAAACGCTAGTCCTCATCGAGATACATCGGATGGCTTTTAATTTTTTAAAATCGGTGCAGCCGTTTTTGAGAAAACGTCGATTTACGCCAAAAAAAATTGTTCACGCACACGCACACGCACACACACACATACTTTTTCCAAATTTGGTCTCATTGATTCAGAATAGCTTGAAACGCAGAGAAAACATAAAATTAGCGATTCGGATTTTTTGATGAAAACATAAACTTCTCCGTCGGAAAGTTAAAAAATATATAAAGAAAATATCTTCAAAAAAATAAAAGAATTGTTAGAGATGATCCATCTGTAATAAAAATAAAATAAAACCTGTAATTAAAATTTAAGCTTTTGCATTAACCTTGAAAAATCTTAATCGAAATCTATTCAAAAAGATGTCCCGTGCATTGACCCAAAGATAAGGGTTAAATGTTGAAAAACCGCTTAGGGGTAGTCCCAGGGGTTAAACCAGGGGCATTCCAAAGTTAGTGGGGTCGGTCATACATTTGGACGCGATTGGGGCACTTTGAATTGGTCAAAATGGAATTTTTCGAATTTCAACCCTTATTTTTGGGTCAATGCACGGGACATAAGAATTCATTTTAGAGGTATAGTTTCTTCAGCAAAGTATCTTATTTTGATCCCAAGTATCCGAAAATCATGTATATATACAGTACAGGCCAAAAGTTTCCGGACACATGAAAAAATCTCATTTTCTGAGTTTTTAGCTATATTTTTCATATAAAAATAATTTTATTCAAGTTAGTTTTGTACATTCTACGTAGTATTAATATTTAGTGACTGATTTGTAACTAATTTGTGAGAAATGATAGACTAATTAGCAATGAAAATGTTAAAATGTCACAGTCGATTTTCCTGAATATGACCACCCTTTGCTTTGATCACTGCAGCGCATATTTTTGGTAATCTTTTGACGAGTTTTTGCAATGTTTGCGCAGGTATGTTCTTCCAGGACTCGTTAAGGTAATTCCACAGGGCAGCAAGGCTGGTTAGATGCAAATCCTTCACGAGGCAATTAAGCTCGTCCCACAACAGCTCTATTGGATTAAGATCCGGCGATTGTGCAGGACACTCAAAAAACCACTTCTGCGAACAGTAAATAAACAAAAGAGATTGCAATTTGCCAAAACCCACTTAAATTGGACCATCGATCAATGGAAATCAGTTTTATGGACGGATGAGTCAAAATTCGAACTTTTCGGAAATCATCGACGTAGGAAGGGTAATGAAAAGACTCAATTCTAAGTGTATTTCGCCAAAGGTGAAGCACGTGGTGGTTCAGTGATGGCTTGGGGTTGTTTTAGATTCAATGGAGTCGGATCGCTTGTCAAAAAGATGGAACTTTAAAGAAAGAACAGTATCATACCATACTTCAGCGCCACGCCATTCCATCTGGTCTTAATTTAATTGGTCCAGAATTTATTTTTCTACAAGTTAATGACCCTAAACACACTTCCCGACTCTGTGCCAATTATTTGAAGCGAAAACAAGACGAAAAAATACTTCAAATAATGGATCTTAATCCAATAGAACTGTTGTGCATTTGTCTGACTGATTTGCATCCAAGCAGCCTCCCTGCCCTGTGGAATTGCCTTAACGAGTCCTGAAAGAACATACTGCGCAAACATTGCAAAAACTCGTCAAAAGATTACCAAAATATGCGCTGCAGTGATCAAAGCAAAGGGTGGTCATATTCAGGAAAATCGACTGTGACATTTTACATTTTCATTGCTAATTAGTCCATCATTTCTCACAAATTGGTTACAAATCAGGTCACTAAATATTAATACTACGTAGAATGTACAAAACTAACTTGAATAAAATTATTTTTATATGAAAAATATAGCTCAAAAACTCAGAAAATGAGATTTTTTTCATGTGTCCGGAAACTTTTGGCCTGTACTGTATAGAAGATATGAATGTTATCGGTTAATAGTTGAATATATTGATATAACCTATGATTTGCTAATATATATATATATATATAATATAATATAATATATATATATCTATATATATTCTTATAAAAATAGATATTGATTACACTCTAAAAGTTTTCTTTAAAAATTGGCAAAAATACGATTAGAAGTAAAACATTACTTCATAACTTGCGAGAATTGTGTTATGTCTTAGTGTCTATTTTTGAATTTATGGTAAATTTTGCCATATAATCTTTTATTCCATAAGATTATCAAACAAGTTTAGTTGTCCATATTTTTATTAATGTTCTTTAATAATCATTTTATGATTCATTAACGTTTGCTTATTTATTTATTGTTACTAGATGTTATATTATTAAGCAGTTGTAACAGATATTGTAATTTAAAAAAAATAACGTTTATATTTCTATTTTCAGGCTAGCAAACAAAATATCATCCCTATAATGTAAAGAAAACGTTTTCTTCCGACACCATCATGGATCTTCCCAAGAACCGAAGAAACCTTACAGAGCAAATTCCAGTTGAAATCATGTTATATTAAGTATAAAGTTAAATAGTACAATAGTTAATGCATCGTTAGTCAATTCTCAATGTGATAAGGAACTTATATCCTAATAGATTATAAATTTTTGAAAACGCTTAATTATTAGAATAATATGGAAATCTAAAGATTTTAAGAAGTAATTCAATGTTATTGATGTTGACTAGTACAAAGTTTAAGAATTCAAATTCGCATTTGCATTGCTTTGAATTCAATATTCGTTTATTGAATTTTTTAAGCCTTTTTATGCCAGATGAAGAAGAATCATCCTCTAAACGGTTTTCGATTTTAGGAACGATTAGTTTTAAAACTAAGTTACCAAAAGTATTTGTTATTATATGAAAAGCAAAGACTGATAAATAGTTGTGAAACCAAAATGTACACTTTAAGACGCAAAATTTTGTGGTTCGCCCTATCAAGTCGTCTCTTCCTGATCTTTCTCCAAGCAGTCGCCAATAATTTGATACCGGATCACAAGGCTGATGCATTCACAAGTCCAATTCTGGATACTAATTCTACGTCTTATGGAGACATATTAATCCAAAAGACTTTGGGTGGTTTTAATAGATGGGATGCCCAGTATTTTATGCACATATCCCAATACGGATACACTTATGAAAATACATTGGCATTTTTTCCATTGTATCCATTGGTAGTCAGAGTTACTGCAGAAGTTGCAAAGGTGTTCTTAGGAAACTTTTTGGCTTATCATAGTACGCTTTTGTTATCAGCGGTTTTGCTGAATGTATATTTTTTTACAAAAGCTGCCCTCACATTACATCAATTAACATTAGTTGTACTAGGGGATGAAAAACTGGCATACATATCTTCAATATTATTCTGCGTAAATCCTGCCAGCATTTTTTTTTCTGCACCATATTCAGAAAGTGTGTACGCATGGTTGAGTTTTGCTGGAATGCTGCGATGTCTGGATAAAACTGATATAAGATTCGGCAACATTGCTATAACAACTGCTGTACCATTTGGATTATCCTGCGTTGCTAGATCTAACGGTCTTCTAAATATCGGATTTATATTGTATCATTGGACACGAAATGGCGTCCAAAAAATGTGGCCAGAAGTTGTAAATAGATACAGAACTTTAAAAACTAAATGGGTTACACCTTTATTAGTTCTTCCGTTTGTGGCAGCTTCTATACAGATAATTATCACTTTGCTGGTTACTTTAGCGGTTTATGTGTGTGCAGATTTATAACTACAGACAATTTTGTACCAGAACAACATTGGTATTACCAGAATTTTTGGTTCAATATGCGGAATCAAATAAGTTTGTTATGCCAGGCTATGGGATGCCCCCTTGGTGTGATGAAGAATATCCAATCGCTTATTCATATGTACAATCACATTATTGGAATGTTGGATTTATGCGTTATTATAAATGGAAACAAATACCTAATTTTTTGTTAGCATTTCCATTAATATCTATAATATTATGGAACACATGGAAATTCATCCAGCAGCATCCAGGATTTTGTCTACGCCTTGGAATTTTTCCAAACAGATATCAGGATATAACTAAAAAGCGCCGAATTGTAAAACCATTGTATTCTACAGAGATGTTTGTGTATTATGTACATGCAACAGCTTTGGTTATTTTCTGTTTACTATTTGTTCATATCCAAGTTACAACCAGACTGGTATGCTCTGCGAGTCCAGTTCTGTACTGGTCTTGTGCTTATATGTTCAATTCGAAGTTAACAGATAAAAATCCAACAGTATTAGAACTACAGTCATTGGACAGAACCAAAGGACCATGAGTTTTGATTTTGAGAACCTCGATAATATGTACAGCAAATGGAAGACTTTTTGATAACAGAAAGTTTATCGGGACGAGAATCCTTGATCAGATGGTATTTTTTGAGTTATTTTGTCATAGGAACTATCTTGTTCTCTAATTTTTATCCTTGGACTTAATAGGTCGGAGAAAAAACTCATATTTGCATATTGTTGAAATATGTAGATGAAACGTTCTTTTACAAACCGTACATAACTTTTTTGCAAATAAATTATAAGCTATTATGACTTTATAAAAACAGAAGAAACAAATAATTGTAAAACATTGGACCAAAGAATTTTTGTTGTAAATTTGTAGTACAAAAATTAGTCAAATATATAAATAATATAAGACCTTAGTTAAATTGATATGTGCGATAAAAAGCTAAATCCATTGATAGTTGTTTATTGTTCACTAATTATTTAGGCAGAAAAGATTACTATGTAAAATTCGATATAGTATCATAAATGGAAGTGGTAAATGGATATTATTATTAAAAATTAATTTAAATTTGCTAATTGTTTCTTAGGAAAAATGGTTAACAGTTGTTTTTTGTTCAAACTTGTTCACTTGTTCAAAATTCATTTATTTAACCTCGAGATAATTATAGGTTCAACTTTCTAGTTCAAATCGAACGGAGTGTTTTTATCAAATGAATCTATAAATTCTTATTCTCAAATTTTCGATAATTTGTTTTCATAAAATGAAGTAAGGGCATGTTTTTTTTTAATATTGAATTTGAAAACATATTCAAGAGAAAATGGTTTTAGTCTACTTCTGTACGGTGTGTAAAAGGGCCAATCATATTGTAATATTCTTATTAATATTATCTTCAAAATGATATTTTATAAATTCAAATATAGTATCATCTAACTGATACAACTCGATATAATTTAGTTCTCACTCGATTTTGAACTAAATAAATAAAATTAATTTTAATTACTTAATAATAATAATATATTTTATTGACTTCGATCGTAAATAAACGTAGAAATCTATCTAGATACAAATTTTTGACAACCTGAAAGTATTTTAAGATAACTCTAGTCTTCTTGTATAACTTGTTACTATCTATTGAACTAGTAACTGGCATAAAATTATTTATTTATTAATAACTGATGTTTAATCGATTTGTCAAAAGATTTGATTATGGGCCTGTTCTCGGTAAGTTTTACTAATGGTTTTAATATCAATACGAGCAGTAGCTGTTTTTTTTTAACAATCAGTTATT